CGGCTGACGAGAAATATCGCTATCTTTTGGGTATCAGAGGGGGTCATGAAAAGTGCATTTATATGTGTATAGGGAGCATGTCAGTGGAAGATGAAAGCTGGTAATATGAGCTGTGATTTTCTTGTCTCTCATGGTAACAAACACAGCAGCACTGAGATGTTTTGACCTTAATCACAACGTTTCATTAACACACATAACATGCAATACATTTACACACAATTTTGAGATAAAAATACACCCCTCATTAAAGCATCTACAGTTTACATACATTTGCACTAACACATTTATATATATATACCATTGTGGGAACCTCCTATCGACATCTATTGCTCAAAGCAATTCAGTTGATGTTGGGCCGTTTGTGTTTATACTTTTTGAGAATCAAGAATGGCTTACTTATAGTCATGACTTTATATGGAACTGAAATATGAAGTAAACTGGAAAGATTTTTTAGATGAAGCTAGAATAACTATTCCTACAATATCAGGTGATTTCCCGCACAGCATCTTTCTGGAGACATTTGGTCAAAATCTGACATACATCTTTCCCTAAAACCGCAGCGGGTGCTCAGGTCTGGTAGCTGGTCATAGTCATGGTTAAACAGGCTGTGCCCTGCGAGGCCCTGGGGGCTTCACAGACGGAAAATGCAATTACGTGTGCTGTGAACCCAGCCACTGTGTGCTAACTGGATTTACATTCAGGCCTTGATACTCCACTCCCGGTCGTCACAAACATATCAGAGCTGATTCTATCCAGACGACATCTTTAGGTCCTACAGGCACCAAACCCAGGAACCACATCACTAAACACACTATAGAAAACAGATAGAAAACTGGGCAGCCACAAACACACACACACACACACACACATATATATATATATATATAAACACTGAAAAGAAAAAGAGATATATATATATATATATATATATTTCTCTAAAAAAATATTTATTTCTTTTAATCCATTTTATATGAGATATTTTAGATTATATGTTATTATAATGTGAGAGTACTATTATATAAAGTGGCAAAACCATTTCTTAATAATATTTATTTGAGTCATTAATTAAAATAATCTAAGCACCACTCAGAATAACTAAAATATTGTTTTTATTTTTTCCCTTTTCCTTCAGAAATCATTCTAATATGCTGATTTGATGCTCAATAAACATTTCTTCTTCATATCATTATTTTTTGAAAAGGGTTGTGTTACTTAAAGGGGTCATATGATGCAATTCATTTTTTCCTTTCTCTTTGGAGTGTTACAAGCTCTTGGTGCATAAAGAAGATCTGTAAAGTTGCAAAGACTAAAGTCTCAAATCCAAAGAGATATTCTTTATAAAAGTTAAGAGTCAGCCACACCCCCCTAAAACGGCTCGTTCGAACACGCCCCCACATATCTACCTCACTATGTGGGAAGATTTGCATAACGCCAACCAAATGTTCACGCAAAGAAAGAAGGCATAACTTTATTCTCGCTGTAGTATTGTTGTCGCTGCCGCCATATCCTGAAGACGCTGTGTGCTTCGTTGTGAAAGCGAAGCTACTTTGTTTGGTCTTCCAAAAGAGGACGATATCCGCTTCATCATGACTGGAGCTGATCCGTGCTGGTTGCTGAGGAAATACATCAACTTAGTGCTGTGGATCGCCGGATCGGC